TACAGGCTGGAGCTCGGCCACGAGCTCCACTGCACACAGATCCCAGCCTTCAGCCACAAGGTGGGTGCCCATGACAGGTGGGATGTCCAGAGAGAGCACCAGTCTGGCAAGTGGTGATCCTAGTACCCTGAGCTCATCCCCAGAGATGAACTTGCTCCCAATAGCATAGCCATATAGGAATGGATCCAGGGCGGCCCTTCAGCCTCAGTCTTATGTCTATTCATCCAGGGTTGCTTCAGCCCAGGAGGCAGAGGTTGCAGTGAGCTAAGATGGTGCCACTGTACTCTAACCTGGGCAACAGAGTGAGCTCTCATCTCTAAAACAATAAGTTAAAAAAAAAAAAAAAAAAAAAAAACAAGGCCAGGTGCAGTGGCTCACGCTTGTAATTCGAAACTTTGGGAGGCCGAGGTGGGCGGATCACGAGGTCAGGAGTTCAAGACCAGCCTGGCCAACATGGTGAAACCCTCTCTCTACTAAAAATACAAAAATTAGCCAGGCGTAGTGGTGCGTGTCTGTAATCTCAGCTTCTCTGGAAGCTGAGGCAGGAGAATTGCTTGAACTGGAGGTGAGCTATGGGAAGCACTGGGATGACAGCAGCAACAAGAGGCATCTCTGTGTGAGCCAGACCTTCAAGAATGACTCGGGGCCCACTCTGAGCAATCACTTCATGGAGGTAAGCCCGGCCACTGCAGCAGAGCCGTGCCCTGTGAGTCCAGCGTGGATGGCAGGAGCTAGGGAACCCCTCGTGGCCCTCTGGCCCTGGCTGTAAGCATGCAGGCAGGCATATGAACCACAGCCTTGGTGAGTTTCCCTTTTGCATCTCCAGCCCCACATCCCCAGTGGTAAGAAACGCTTCTCACAGTGCCAAGGACTGGAAGGAGGGCTTGGGAAACACAGATTTCCAACCGTAAAAAATGCATTTTGGAAACAGCAGTTTGCTTTTAGTTTTTCCCGGAGTGGGGGTTCTTTTGCTGAGTTAGGAATGATGGTATGCTCAGAAGCTAACAGGTGGTGGTTCTTCTACAGCACGCATTGAACCTTATACATTTTTTTTTTTTCCTTTTCACATCCAGTCCTGCAAACGGTGGTGTTTTTTTTTTTTTTTTTTTTTTTTTTTGAGATGGAGTCTCGCTGTGTCACCAGGCTGGAGCACAGTAGCACGATCTCGGCGCACTGCAACCTCTGCCTCCCGTATTCAAGCGATTCTCCTGCCTCAGCCTCCCAAGTAGCTGGGACTATAGGCATGTACCACAATGCCCAGCTCATTTTTGTATTTTTAGAAGATATAGGGTTTCACCATTTTGGCCAGGATGATCTTGATCTCTTGATTTCGTAATCCACCAGCCTCAGCCTCCCAAAGTGCTGGGATTATAAGTGTGAGCCACCGTGCCTGACCCAACCTTCTTTTTTTTCATGGGCTTCTATCTTATTCTTACAAGGTATCCAAGCTAATAGCCCTTATGCCTGCTGCCTCGGTTTCTTCAGTCTTCTGCCTGCTTTCTTTTACATGTACAGCCTTGTTTCTGTGAAGCTCACTGCCACTGGGTCTCTTTCTGATTCCACAGTAAGTTCTTTGTGGCCGTGTGGTCGATAAACGCTCATAGTGGCTGCCCCGACTGCCCTCCTGGCAGGACTAGGAACTTCTGGACTCTCCACCATCTGGGGCTAAGACCTTGCCCAATGCCAGGGTGGGTGTCCCTCTGACTGGCTATTGAATGTCACCTCCATATCCTCTCTGCCGTGCCAGAGTCCCATGGCCACCCGTAGGGCAGTGAATTTGGAAGAGGGCTCCAGGACTCGGCACACTCTGCTGTTCGCAGCTGTCATTGATTACAGTGAGGGGAGGCAGGAGTGTCAGCACAAGGAAGGGGTCTGGGGTGGAGTCCAGGGGGAACCAGGGCCAGCACCCAGTGTCCTCTCCCTGTCCCTGTGCCTTCACATGGGATGCATTTGGCTGGCCTAGCACTATGTCACCCAGGGTGTTTAGTGGGGCTGCCTAGTTGGCAGGTGCTGCTTCGCTCAGAGCACACTGTCAGACTCCTAGGAGGCAAGAAGGGATCTGGCATAAACCACGTTTGTACAAACAGTTCAGGTGCAGAGAGCCTCGTATCACTTCTAGGATTGGTGGGAACCCTCCTAATTCAAGTTCCCAGACAACTTATGAGCAGGCCATGCAGAGGCAGCTCACGTCTGTTGTAACAACTCGCCTGCAATCTTCAGTGCCTTCTGCTCTATTCCTTTTCCCCCACTTCCCCCACCATCTTAATCCCAGGAACAGGCCCTATCTCCTTGAGGCCTGGGCTGGGCCTCTGAGCGCCCAGAGGCCTCATGGTGGGTGGTGGCTGCCCACTGCAGGGTCCCTGGCCACACTGAAGAACACCTTCCTGGAAGTGATGCTGCGGCCCCTGGGGGAGGTGTGGCGAGAGTGGGCAGAGGAGGCCATGTGGTGGCTTCAGGCCTGGGGGCCCCGGATGCCAGGCAACCGGGGTCCCAGGCCCATCAGGATGGACGTGAGGTCCGTGAAAGGCACCCTGGAGCTGGAAAGTGAGAGTAAGGATGGGGCGTGGCTGGCAGTTTAGGACGACCGAGACAGCATTCACTGTCCCCTCCCTCTCCAGGTGGCTCAGCAGATGCTGTCCGGGGCTGAGGCCACGTTCTCATGGGCACTGAAGAGGCTCAGCAAACCCCTGCTGGACCTGTATGACCTCGTAACCAGGTAATGCAGGGTTGGGAGTGGCACATCCGGCATTCCTGCCACATATCAGGTGCAATGACGAATGTTTCGACACTTTCTTGACTCCCTGACTACTCTGACCGCCCTACACAAAGGCTTCTTCACTCCCCATTTCACAGGAGAGGAAGCTGGGGTTTCTTCCTCACTCCACAGAGACCTTGTGAGCATGATCCCAGGGCAGGCAGGATTTTAGGAGCTGCTGCAGAGGACCACAGTGGGCGAGGCTGACCCCTGCCTTCAGGAAGCTCAGTTTTACTCAGAGACAGACATGAAGCACAAGAAATCTACAGCAGGGTGTGCACTGCTCCCTGCAGAGAGCCTCAGAGTCACCTCTTAAGCAGGCCATTCTGCTCTGTCACATTTCCTTGCTTTTGTTTTGTAATCATCTTTTTTTTGAGATGGAGTCTCGCTCTGTCTCAGTGGTGTGATCTCAGCTCATTGCAACCTCTGCCTCCTATGTTCAAGTGATTCTCCTGCCTCAGCTCTCCGAGTTGCTGGGACTACAGGTGTGTGCACTACTGCACCTGGCTAATTGTTTGCCTTTTTAGTAGAGACAGGGTTTTGCCACTCCAGGCTGGTCTCAAACTCCTGACGTTCCGTGATGCAACCCCTTTGGCCTTCCAAAATGTCGAGATTACAGGCATGAGCCACCACTTCTGGCCTGTTTTGTAATCTTTTAAACACATAAAAGCCCTTCTTTCTTGAAGGCCTTGCAGAAGCCGACCACAGGCTGGGTGTGGCCCACTGCCCATCATTTACCACCACTCTGCCATACATTAGGTGGCAAATGCTAAAGAAGGAACATTGTTGAGATGGTGGGCTGGGAATTCTATGGTGTGGCCATGGCCAACTTTGAGGAGAAGGTACAGTTTGAGAAAGAGCCATGGGGCCAGTATGGGAACAGAAGCTCCAGGTGGGGGCACCACTGCACAGAGGCCTGGGAGAGCGATGTGCCTGGCCTGTTTTTGAGATGGAGTCTCGTGCTCTGTCACCCAGGCTGGAGTGCTGTGGTGTGATCTTGGCTCACTGGAACCTCTGCCTCTCAAATTCAAGTGATTCTCCTGCCTCAGCCTCACAAGTAGCTGGGATTACAAGCATTCACCACCATACACGGCTAATTTTTGTATGTTTAGTAGAGACAGGGTTTCACTATATTACCCAGGCTGGTCTCAGAATCCTGGGCGCCAGAGACTCAGTGCTGGGATTACGGGCATGAACCACCTTGCGTGGCCTGTTTGAATAGCAAGGTGGTAGGGCTGATGCAACTGGGAGGGACTGGCTGCTTCCTGTCCCCAGCTGCAGGGCCTCTGGGCTCCCTAAAAGGTAAGTGAGGCTACCTGCCCCTCCTCCTCACCGGCCCATCAACAACAGAGTGTGCAATGTTCCTCTGCCCACTCTACCCCCACATGAGCCAAGATCTCCCTGATCATTCAGATCTCACAGGCTTGACCCTACTCTACATATTGAAAAGTTCCAGTCCTCCCCTCAACTGTAGAAATTTCCTAGACCTTTTGGTCAGGCACACTGGCTCATGACTGTAATCCCAGCACTTTGGGCAGATCACTTGAGGTCAGGAGTTGGAGGCCAGCCTGGCCAACATGGTGAAACCCTGACTCTACTAAACATACAAAAATAAGCTGGGCATGGCAGTGAGTGCATGTAGTTCCAGCTACTGTGGAGGCTGAGACAGGAGAATCACTTAAACCCAGGAGCTGAGGTCACAGGGAGTCAAGATCGTACCAGTATACCCGAGCTTGGGGAACAGAATAAGATTCTGTCTCAAAAAACAACAATTTCCTACACCTTCCAGCTCCTGTCCTTGGCACCCGCACACACAGGCCCATGCTGCCAAAGACCCAGGGGGCAGATCAGACATCTGTGTCTTCAAAATAGGACAGCTTGTTTCTGTCCTGGCCTCACCCCCTAACTCCGCTGTCATGCTGCCCTCTGTCCTCCTCCACCTCATTATGGGATTTCCTAGAACAAGGACAGCCCTTCCCCGAGAGGCACCCTAATGTTCTCCATGGCAAAGCTCTTCCTGCAGACCTGTGAGCTCCCCCTCTGCAGACAAAAGCAGCAAGCCTCGGCTAGGCATAGCGACTTGTCCCGTGTGTTCCCTCTAGGAACTATTACAGTGGTGATGATGTTGCCACTGCTGGCTCAGGGGAATGAGCCCCTGGACATGGCCCAGGTGACCAGCTACCTGATGGAGTAGAAGCTGCTGCAGCAGCTCCGAGAGCTGTCCAGGGCCAACGTGCTGGCCAAGTTCTACCAGCTAAGATGCAGCCTGCTGCAGGGTCTCTGTGAGTATGAGTCCTGCCCCGTGCTGTGCTACCCTCCTCCCTGGGAGCCCCCTGCCCTGTGGGCACAGCAGCAGGGCCATGCAGAGGCAGGTACTGTGGGGGCACAGGGAAGCCTGCAGAGGCTCATGGCATCACAGTGCCAGGCCCAGCTTATTGGAATTCCCAAGGTCCTATGGGACTCGGGCTGAGGCAGCACATCCTGCTTTTCTCCAGATTATAAGGCCTGGCCCAGCAGTACAGCCAAGGGCGGTGCTGGGATGACCAGCTCTGGGCTCCTGGGGAGCTTGCGTGTTGCTCAGGTGAGTCTGCTAACCTTTGTGGACTCAGCTTCCTCCACTGTCAAATGCAAGTAACCATGTGGCTCCCTCACATGGGTAAGGGGCATGTGCGGTTCTTAATACACGAGGGAGGCCCTCACGTCCATGGGGCAGCCATAGTACCCAGGCTTGGCAAGGAGCGGTTTATCTGTGTGGGACTCACACGGAGGCCTACAGCTCCCTAGAAGCGTGGGTGTAGTCAGGATTAAGCAGCACGCTGATCTTGTAGAAAGCAGCCTGGTCTTCAAGTTCTATGTGTGTGTGACCATGGACTTCTCTGTGCCCCTCAGTTCTGACAGCTGACCAGGGGGCTGGTAGTCCCTCCCTTGGGATGCTGGCCCTGGCCATCAGGTGTCTGGCTGTGCACGATGGATGGTGCTTTCCTGCCATGGGCATGAGCACTCCCAACGCACAGCTCGGGGCAGCGCTGGCTGGACTCGTCAGACCTGCTCCTTCACAGGCCATCTCTTCCCTATCCTGAAGAGGGCAGGTCTGCAGTACACTGTTGTCATGTTTGAGGGAGCCGTTGGCCATCCACTTAAACAGTCAGTGTTTCCCCCTCATCCCAGTAGCTTCCTTGAGATTAAGTGGTTGACTTGTATGATTCTTTTTTTTGAGACTAGATCTCATACTGTTGTCATGGTTGGACATGGTCGGAATGCAGTGGTATGATCTTGGCTCCCTGCACTCTTGACCTCCAGGGTTCAAGTGTCCTCCTGCCTCAGCCCGGCAAAGTGCTGGGATGGCTTAGCGCCACTGTACCTGGCCGATGTGTGAATTTCAAGTGCACGATTCAGTAGCTTCTAGATTATTCAGAGTTGTGCATGCCTCACCACAATCGATTTTAAAACATTTTTATCCTAAAATGAAACCCTGCAGCTGCCAGCCTGCCTGCTCTGTCCATGGCTATGCCTGCTGTGGACATCTGATGTAAATAGAAGCATGACTATGTGGCCTCTGAGCCAGGCTTTATTACTTAGCACAGCAATTTTGTAGCAGGTCTGGGGACTCCATTCCTTGTTAGGGCTGAATTGGGCCATAGCCCTTCAGCTCACGTCATCCTGAAGCAGGTGAGGGATCGCTGGGCCTCTGGCTGCTGCACCAGGGGAGGGGGACTCCTGGCCTCAGGGCAGGCTCAGCCGGGGCAGGCATTGTGTTCCCACTGTGGTGTGTGGAGCTGACTCCACTCACCCTGCCTTTGGGGCTGATTCTCCCCAGACCATGCCCTGGTGGCCCAGGCCCAGCATGTGGTGACTTCTGACAGCCAGGTGTGGGACCTCAGTACCCAGTGTGGCAGCATCTTGCTGGCCCAAGACTTTGCTCACAACACATTCTCCCCAATGCTGAGTCAGACAGACTCGGGGCTCATGGCCCTGATTGTGGAGCTGAACCACCTGACCTTCATCTTCTACCCCAGGCTGCAGGTGAGGAGGAGAGGCCCAAGCTTCCCCTGGAGACCTGTGCCTGTGGCAGGTTGCCTGGGGAGATGACCCTTTCAAGCTTGTCCCCTGGCTGTGGGTCAGCCCTCCTGACCACCCCATCTTGTCCACAGGCCTACAGGCCGTACAACTCCTCCCTGCCAGGGGAGAGCTGTCTAGACCTCCAGCTGCCTCTTGCCATGAAAAGGAGGGACATCCCCAGGATTGAGCAGGCCAGTGAGGACGGGGTCTCCATCTCCTGTGATGTGCCCACCAGCCTCTGCAGCCTGACTCTGGGCCTCTGGCACCACGGTAAGTCTGGGCCCCAGCAGGGTTGGCCCCACCACCAAGAGCCTCTTCGGGATGCACCATTCTCAGCTTCCATTGCGACAGGTCCCCGGGGCTATAGGCGGCCACTGTGGTTGAGATGAAAGCACCGAGGCCCAGGGCTTTCTGCCCACATCCCTGGGATATGTGGCTCCAAGGTGGAGTTGGCCTTTCTGTGGTCCCTCTGCCAAGGACACAAAGGGCAGGCCTGGATTCCGGCCACTCGGGCTGAGAACGTGGAGAGGGTATGCAGGGACACACGCTGTCGTCAGTCCCTGCTTTCTCTTCCTCTTCTGATGAGAGTTTGCAGCCAGAACCCTGGGCTCCGGGAGTCCGGGATGGAGGGATTCTACCAATACTCCGTGTGCCTCAGGCTTGTCTCTCGTACAGGTCCCCTGGGGGAGGATCATGGGCTTTCAGAACCTCCTCAGCTTCCCTCCTCCCCACAGGCATATCCGCTGGCCTTCTGAGCACCACCGACAATGAAGCAGGCAATGATCTGATGTTGCTGGATGGCTCTGTGGCCCACATCCTGGAGGAGCTCAGCCTAGCCTGGCAGTTGAGCAGGTGCGCCTGCCCTTCCTCCCTCTGGCTGAGGCTCTTCAGGGCTGCTCGCTGCAGAGACGAAGGAGAGGCAGGTGGCCTGCTGGCTCTGCAGAGGTCTTTGCAGGCCCAGGGTTGGGGGGAGTCTCCTGCTGAGACCAATGCATGTGGGGGAGCCACATGGTCCAGCGGGGGGCCTGAGTCTTGTACCTGTCCTGCCAGGTGGATGGTGACTGTAGGGCCACCGAGAAGACTCAGCAGGCCTGCCCAGGACAGAGCCCCGCCTGCCTGGCCTTCCAGGACCCCTACTCCAGCTTGAGGAACTGCTTCTGGGTGGTGAGTGTGAGCCTGGGCCCTGGGGCACAGAAAGCCCTTTCCCCAATCTACCCTGGGGAGTGGCATGGAGGGGAGGCCTAGGCTAGAGACAGTGACTGGGTGGCCCTGATTTCAGGTGGAGCCTGCATCATTCCTTGGCCTGTGTGTGCAGGAGCCCTGTGGCATCTGGGAACTCCAGCGTGCCTGCACTCTGGCGGCTGCCTACATCCACCTGTGTGCCCACAGCTTCGTGTCCCGGGCCCCTCTTCCACAGTGCAGTAAGCCGCCGCAGCTGGCTGCCACTCTGCCCCATCTGGCATCTGCCTTCCAGCCAGAGGGAAAACCTGTCTCTCTCTCGTCAGAGAGAACAAATAATTGTCATTCAAGGAGCTAAGAGTCAAAACAAAACATTTATAGCCTGACACAGCTGGGATGTGTGTCCCCTCCAAATATCACGTTTGTTAGAGGGGCTACATCCCTCATGGATGGCTTAGCAGCCTCCGTTTGGTGAAGTATGAGTTCTTGCTCGATTAGTTCACATGAGAGCAGTTTGTTTATAAAGAGCCGGGTACCTCCTCTCTCTCTTTGCACCCCTCCTGTTTCTGCCATGACTGTAAGCTTCCCGGGGCCTCACCAGAAGCCAAGCAGATGCTGGAGTTGTGCTTGTACAGCCTGTAGAACTGTGAGTCCATTATATCTCTTATTTATGATCTGCCCAGGCTGGAGTGTAGTAGCACAATTTTGCCTCATTTCAACTTCCGCCTCCCAGGTTCAAGCAATACTCCTGCCTCAGCCTCCCAAAAATATAGTCGAGTATTTTTGTAGAGATGGTGTTTTTCCATGTTGGCCGGGCTGGTCACAAATTCCTGACCTCTGATGATTCACCTGCCTTGGCCTCCCAAAGTGCTGGGATGACAGGCTTGAGCCACCATGCCCAGCCTCACTAGGGATTTGAATGTCCACCCCCGTTTAGAGAAAATGCTCAGCCCATTTTCCCTCTGCTCTCATACCACAAAAATCATCATCAACACAGAAGATGACTTCTGTGAGCAAATGTGTTAAGGTTTGTCCCCATTACCAGGGTGGACCTCTAATTCAGTTCTAACACTAGCTACCTTGAGATTCTTTAACCAGTGCTGCATATGATTGCTACAGCCAAAGCCCCACTAAAAGGCACAGAGGTCAGGATCAACAAGAGGAGTGGACTTCCAAGAGCTACAGATGCCAGAATTAGTGGCTGCCATTCACAGACATTTAAAACTCCATTCACAGACATTTAAAACTTAATTCAACAGCAGAAGAGAAAATTAATCAACTGGAAAATATGACAAAGGGCAGATGACATGAGAGGATCCAAGATGTCTCAAAGAAATTCCAGGCCGGGTGTGGTGGCTCATCCCTGTAATCCTAGCACTTGGAGGGCCAAGGTGAGTGGATCACCTAAGGTCAGGAGTTCAAGACCAGCCTGGCCAACATGGTGAAAACCCATCTCTACAAAAAATACAAAAATTAGGCAGGACTGTTGGTGTGTTCCTTTAATCCCAGCTACTCGGGAGGCTGAGGCAGGAGAAATACTTGAACCCAGAAAGTGGAGGTGGCAGTGAGCCGAGATCTTGCCACTGTACTCTAGCCTGGTGACAGAATGAGAGTCTGTCTCAAGAAAAATTCCAGAATGAAAACAGAGACAGGACCCAGGACCCTTTAGAGTCAGGAGGCACAATCCCCAATATAATAAATCTATCCATACCTAGACCCATCAAAACACAATTGCAGGAAAGACAAAGAACAGGTCCTAAAAGCTCCTGAGGAGGGTGGAGAGAAGGAAGAACATGTTGACAACTGCTTTCCCACCAGCAGCAATGGAAGACAGTGGAATAAGGGAAAGTAAGCATGAGGTTAGAGTTTACATCCAGCTCAACTATTACTGAATGAAATAACCTCTCTGCACTGATCTGTCTAGAGATCTCTTTACCACAAATGGACACTTACTCAAGGGACACATCCGCATGTTCATTTACGTGCTGTCTGTGTCTGCTTTCCTGCTACAGGGGCAGAGTATCTGCAAGGGAGACCACATTTTTGCTCTCTGAAAGACTCAATTAGGAGGATGGAAAGATAAGCTACAGATTGAGAAAAATGTTTACAAACCGCCTATCGGACCAGGGACTCATCTCCAGAGACTCATCTCTAGAATAAATGAAGAACTCAAAGCTCAAAAGTAGGCCAGGTACAGTGGCTCATGCTTGTATTCCTAGCACTTTGGGAGGCTGAGGAGAGATGGCTTGAACCTGGGAGGTCAAGCCTGCAGTGAGCCATGACTACACTCCTGGCCGCATGACAGAGTGAGGCCTTGTCTCACAAAACAAAACCTTCAAAGTAAAAAGTGGGAAATAAACACATGAGCAATGTTTTCACTCCCAGCCATAGAGAAACAAGGTAGTGTTACACACCTGAGCTCCAGTGAGTTCTAGCACGGGTTGCTGAGTTGCAGGGACTCCGCAGCATAAAGCATTAGTTGAACATCCAAATGGCCAGGTTGTGATTTCAGCACCCACTGATGAGTGCACTATAAAAAGCACTGTTCTAGTGCCAAAAAGGTGGTGGCTGCTGAGAAAAAACGAGGCTTAGAGGCAGGAATCAAGGTCACGGTCTACCAACCAGATCCTCTTGGGAAGCAGCATTGGACTCATGAAGTGAAAAGACAGGAGGTGGTGTGGCTCCACGGGAAGCTTGGAGAATCTGGAATCAAGCAGAAGCACTCATTGTTCTGACCATGTAAATACAAAACTGTCAGCTACTACAGCGATTAACAGAACATCTGGGAGGACAGGCAACTCAGAAAATTTATAGCCACAGGGTAACAATGGAGTATTATCTGAAGTTAAGGTCCTCTGTCTTCCTCTTAGGGTTTATTTATTTATTTATTTATTTGAGAGGAAGTCTTGCTCCTTCACCCAGGCTGAAGTGCAGTGGAGCAATCTCAGCTCACTGCAACCTTCTCCTCCTCCTGCGTTCCAGCAATTCTTCTGCCTCAGCCTCCTGAGGAGCTGGGATTACAGGCATGTGCCACCACACGCCGCTAATTTTTTTGTGTTTTTAGTGGAGACGGGGTTGCACTGTGTTGGCCAGGATGGTCTCAAATGTCAGACCTCATGATCCATCTGCCTCGGCCTCCCAAAGTGCTGGGATTACAGGTGTGAGCCACCGTGTCTGGCTGGGTTTATGTTAAATCAAGGGCTAAATTCTTCCCCTCTCTTGGACACCAGTGAAGTATTTAAGAAAAGCAGTCACCAATTACAGTTAACATTTGAAGGACAAATTTAAAGGTGGTTGTAACTTACAAAATAAAGGTATCTTATGAACTCTCATAAGAAAAAAAGAATATTAAGACACTTTTTATTATCTTTTTGAGATAGGGTCTTGCTCTGTCCTCCAGGCTGGAGTACGGTGGTGCAGCCTCCCAAGTAGCTGGGATTACAGATGTCCACCACCATGTTTTTGTATTTTTAGTAGAGACAGGGTTTCACCATGTTGGCCAGGCTGGTGTCAAGCTCCTGACCTCATGTGATCCTTCCACCTAGCACTGACCAGAGAAATTAAGGCATTCTCAGGTAAACTAAAGCTGAGATAGTTCATTACATTGGGACCTGTCCTGCAAGAAATGCTAAAGGGAGTCCTTCAAGTCAAAACAAAAAGATGCTAGGTAGACATTTGAAGCCACATATAAAGACCTGTATTGTTGGAATTTTGATTCACATCTCTGATTTTAATTATTTTATTGGATTTAAAAGAGACGTGTAACCATAAGCCTATGTTAAATATGTAATTTATTTTAAAAAATTAGGCATGGTGGTGTGCACCTGTACTCTCAGCTATGGAGGATCGCTTCAGTCCAGGGGCTTCAGGTTACAATGAGCTATGACAGTGACACAGGACTCCAGCCTGGGTGACAGAGTGAGACTCTCTCTCTCTAAAATATAGATACACTTTGTAGCATCAACAACACAGGACGGGGCAGAGCTGTCAAGGAGTAGAGTATTTGTATGTGATTGAACTTACTAGTTTAAAATCAATTGCTATAACTTCGGGATGTTTTATGTAATCCTCATGGTAATTACAAAGAAAATATCTACAGAATGTACACAAAAGGAAGTGAGAAGGCATTCTAAGTGTGTCACAAAAAAAATCAAACACAAAGGAAGGCAGAAGGAAGGAATTGAGAGAGAAAACAAACGATAAGCCATGCAGAAAACAATCCACAGAGTGGCACGTGAAGGCCCCATAAATGGTGTGCTGGGGTCCTCCCAGAACAACTGCTCACCTTAGTCCCTGGCTGTGGGCCTCATGGCACAGTCACCCTCCAGGCTATTGAGTTTCATCAGATGATAATCTTTAAAAATATAAAGTATTTCCACAATCTAAAGACAGTAAGAGACTTACACATAGGATGAAAAAGATACTCCATGGAAATGGTAACTGAAAAAAGGAAGAGGAGCTAGATTAATCTCAGACTAAATAGGCTTAAGGTCAAAAGCGGTTCTAAGAGATAATAACAGTCCATTCATCAAAAAGATGCAACAGTTAAAAAGGTACATGCAACACACCTCAGAGCTCCTAAATATATAACGTAAACACTGACAGAATGAAAGGAGAAACAGACAGTTCTATGAAAATTGTAGGAAATTTCAACACCTCACTTTTTTTTTCCCCAGAGATAATCTTTGTTTCCCAGGCTGGAGTGCAGCTGCAACCTCCTGAATTCAAGTGATTCCCGTGCCTCAGCCTCAGAGTAGCTGGGATTACAGGAGTATGCCACCATGCCCAGCTATTTTTAGTAGATACAGGGATTCACCACGTTGGCCAGGATGATCTTGAACTCCTGACCTCAAGTGATCCACCCACCTTGGCCTCCCAAAGTGCTGGGATTACAGGCATGAGCCTCTGTGCCTGGCCCAATAACTGACTTTCAATAATGGATACAACACCCAGACAGAAGATCAAGAAGGAAACAGAGAGCTTGAATGATACTATAGACGAATTGGACCTTCCAGACATACACAGATGAGTTCACCCAGCAGCAGAATACACATTCTTCGAAGTACATGTGGAATGTTCTCTGGGAAAGATCATATATTAGGCCTGAAAGCAAGATTTAATACATTTTGAAGGACTGAAATCATAATAGCAGAAGGAAAACTGGAATATTCACATATCTATGAAAACTCAACAACATACTACAAAACTATGGATCAATGAAAAATAATAAGGAAAATTATAAAGCATTTTGAGACAAAACAATGTATCAAATCTTATGGGATGCAGCAAAAGCAGTGCTATGAGGGAAATTTATAGCTGTACATGCTTACATTAAAAAAAAAAAAAAAGCTGGCTGGAGGT